TAGATTAACTATAATTGTAATTTTATCATTTAACAGTACAGCAACTGAATTCGTTCTTGTTGAACAAGGATAATACCCTGTCGTTTATTAGTTTTTTTCAAGCTGTTTTTCTTGAGTACTCCCTGATCGTGGATATAAGGTGGGAATTTTAAGCTATTTGAGTTATAATAATCTTGCTAAACAGAGGATAACTTAGAGTTGTTTGGTAATTCAGAAAGACCCTTAAAAGATTATTAAATTTTATTCTAGTGTTCGGAGATATTGATGGTGCCATCCAAGCTTTAAAAGCCCACGAGGTAGATGGAATAATGTTGGACCGCTTCACTGCCTCTTTTTATCAAAAGCAAGACAAGCTCAAAGCACTGATCACCGTCAAGACGATGCAATTTCAACGCGATAGTGGCTTCCTTGTCTCAAAAAGTAGAGCTAGCTTCGCAAATTGTTTGGATTACGTTCGCCCAAATATTTACCAGTTTGGTCTGTCACTTGCAAATTCTTTTAAGGTAACTTGTCATTGCATAAGCTCTCTTTTAAAACAAGGGCTAAGCTGTAGCTTGAAACGTTACTCATATCTTGAAATTGCAATATAGCAAGGGTTAGCGATGAAAATCTCTAACATAGTTAGCTGTGGGAATCTTCCTCCTACACCTTCCTCAAGGTTTTGATCTGCCGCCTGTTTCTAGGAAAGTTGTTTTACACATCTTAAATTCATCTGGTCAAAGGCTTATCTTGCCCTCTCGCAACGAGCAGTTAGCTTAGATTATTTATATTTTCCCATTATTTTCCCTCCTGATTAAGAACTAAATGGCACTTTTCCTTTCTAATAGTTGATACCTCAAAAGCCTGAGAAAACAGCGAGTGTTTTCGATGACCGATTTACCAAGTTAAAACACGTGTTCCACATATCATTAGGAGTTTTATCAGCCTTACTCCTGATTGGCATTCTATGGGAGTCTGTGTGTTACAAAAAAAGACAGAAGAAATCGAAGGCAAAACAGGGTGAGTAATGGTCAATGGAATTGTGAAACAAATAAATATTGAAATTTTTAACACAGTAAAGCGAAAATAAATGAAGTATTTAGTCATCACCATCACAATACATTTGATAGCTTGCCTTAGTTTGTATGAAATACGACAATAGTGGATTGAACGTAAATTAAAGGCTATTATTTAAATCTGGATCATTGGATAATGCAATTCAAGAGTTGTCAGTCGCTTAGCCAGCATGTGTTATGGGCCATTATACCATGCGCACGCATGAAGGCGAGTTAAACCGGAAGTGTTTTTGTACGTTGTAACATTCCGTTTGCTAGCTATCTATCATCTTATATCCAATGCAAGTTCGCGGAACAACTGTTTATTAGAGGGGTAATTTGTTGGGCTACTAAAATAGTTATTAGCCCAGGTGAAATTCTCGTCTAGTCGTAAAAAGAAAGATTGTGTTATGGAGACATTTTTGTGCGAGTTTCGTAAACCCAAATTCAAATAAGAAAAACGAGACTCTATCATTCATTTAGCAGTTAATATTAATATGGGGAGCCGATAAGAAATTAAATGTAGCTGTGGTTTATCTTGACCTCCTCGATTGAGGACAGAATGCGTGAGTTTTTTAACCCTCATAACTTGTAACTGATAAATAACCAAAGCCAGCTGTTTGCGACCACTGAAGTGAGACGTCGACATAAGGATAGCATTGCCATCCATTTTGGTTTCCGTTGGTTATGTCTTCGCTGTTGTTCTTCAATTTCCTCTCATTCTTCTTTAATAATTATTAATTTAAGACAACGTCAAATTTCATAATAACTCGATAAAATGAACACGATGTAATCTGCATTGGTTTAATTTTTTGCGTACAGATCTCGACAACCTCGGGTTTAAAGAGAAGAAAGAGATTTTTGAAGAGCTGGAGGAAGGAAGGAGAGCCTTGCAAAGAGCTCAAGAACAGCTTGAAAAATTACACGCTAAATTTCAGCAATGATGTAGCTATTATAACGTGATATATAATCGTATTTCAATGTCAGTTCACACAATTTTTTGTATTCGTATCATGACAAGAGTCTCAAGAGTGTGAGCATCATGTGAGGGAGGGGGGTTTGAATGCGAGCGTTCTCTACCCTAACGTCGTTGATGCTATCGTTCCACCTTACTTAAATACCTCTTGATAGCCGATTTTGTTACATTTAACCCTTTACGCCCTAACATCAGTATGCATATTCTCCGTGCTGTTCTCTTTACATTTCCCAAGGTGCTGACAAAGAGAATTGATTTGACAATCAAGAGCTTGTTTAGTTGGTGATAATTTCCTTTATTACCATGACCTTAAAGTGTGATTCGTAGCCGATATTGTAAGAACATAGATGCTATTCATCATGATAAGCCTTATTACAATTAAGTAAACTCGCCATGATAGATATGTGACAAAGCAGCACGTGATTTCCACTTTCCCCAGCATTAACAGAAAACAAATTAGATATAAGCCCAATAAGATATAAGAATGTTGGTAGCGTAACAATATAAAAGAAAAGTCAATTAGGTTACCGCGAAATCAAGTGTATGAAGTGTGTCATTCAAACGCCAGATGTCGCCACATGAGAATCAGGACCGTCACTTTTAGCAAACCTCTCCTTCAAAATTTTTCCAGTTGGATTGTTATTTTTCTCGTCAATTTCGTCCAACTCGTCACGGGATAAATGTTGTACAATGCCCGTTCCCATGGCATCCCCCATGACGTTGACAACAGTGATGAAACGGTCCCTTAGAATAGACAAGAAAATACATTCTAATAAGGCTTTTGAGCTAAAATGGGAAAGTGAGGAAGAAAATATAGCCAGTAATTTTTCTTTAACAATAATTAAATTTTTTTTGTGCACGCATGTTTTCCCAAAAGAGGGCATTTTTCAACACTCTGTATTGGAGCACTTTGCGATTGAGTGTTGTGAAAATTAGAACCAAAGTACTGACAACAGCCGATCAGAAGAAACGAGAACATCTCATGAGAACTCAAAATAAAAACAAGCAAATTACCTAAAGCGCGGGAAAAGAGAGTTACCAATTCGCCATTGGTTGTAGTGTTGAATCTGTTTGGTCGAGAAAGTGTCGCAAGTTTTCTTAACCAATCACACAGCGAAGTAAAGCAAAGTAAAAAAAATCCCTGATTACTTTCACAGTAAATTGAAAATTGCTCCATAAAGAGATTTTAAACATTCAACGAGCGCAGAACAAATAAAATCATAGTTTCCATTGGAAATTCGAGCCTAAATCAATTTCGATTTTGCATTGGGATGCTCTGCCAACTGAACTACAAAAAACGCTTTGACGAACTCAGCATACAGCAGTTGGTATTTAACAGATGTCCTGGACGCTGCTAAGATTAGCATCGTCGAAATCGAACCGTTCGAAAATGGAGTGAAACAGACAGAAATTTGAATCTTAGTTGTCAAGTGAAGAAAGAACAATGACATGTCACAGTCGTAAAGTAAAAGTATTCTGTTTAGAAAACACAGATTTGCTTTATAATCCTCAAGGGCCTGCGACTTCTATTACAATAAAGACACATGAATGAGACACTTCTAATTTTTCGTATTTAAATTTTGAATTGAAAATATCATATGTTAGATTTTCCAGCGGAGTAAAAAATAAAATAAAATGAAGGTTGTACGCTTACAGCAACCACTCAACCGCAAGAATAAGTCCTAGGTCATGAAGAGGCAGATTCACAGCTTGCAAGGCAATTATTGTGGTCACAGCTGTTGCTGGAATCCCAGCAGCTCCCACCGCCAGCAACACAGAAATTACACTGCATCGTGAAGGAACAAAATAAATGAAAATGGTTTAGTTGTTAGGAATTCTTGCATCGTCTAGTATTACAACGTATTACTACACATCAATTTGTTTACTGGTTTTTGCCCAAGTGATTTAAAAAACTCTGAATCTCGTCTGAGACCTCGTCAGTTAATATAGACGAACTAGGATTTTTCTGAATAAAGGGGGTAAGTTTCTAAAGAAAATATGGTGCTGCGTCGGTAGAGACCAACAGGGTAATTTAGTCTTATCAACTGAGTTGATAACGTGAATTAGTCACCGTAAAGAGTTTCACAGCTGACGTTTCGAGCGTTAGCCCTTCATCATATCGACTGATTTTTCTGAAATGATTTTTCTGAACAACTTGAATCCTCACATCATTTACAGGAAATTAAACGAATGCACAATGCATTGCTAACGTTACATCGACTGATGCTGTATGTAGATTTCTCTGAATAAAGTCAGTTCCATCAGCGACATTTCCAACAAACTTTTTCTTCCTTAAGTATCACTTTACAGAATACACCTCAAATACATGTAACAGGAAGTCGCTAAAAGGCAGGAACGAGATTGGTATGTATTCTACATGCAGTACATACCATATTGTGACAATTTTTCCCGGACTTAAATCTATGTCGTTTAACTGGGCCACAAATATCAGTAAAACTGGTCGGTTGAGAGCAGAACCGTCCATGTTGATGGTGGCCCCAAGTGGTAGCATAAATCGACTTATGCGTGGATCTATTCCGTTGTTCTCTTCAACACATCGCATAGTGGTGGGGAGCGTTGCAGCGCTGAAGAAAAATCGAGGAAAATAAGAATCTACTGCACAAGATAATATTCCATTAAAGTACGAAAACCAAATAGAAAGATTTGCATCAAGATAATTTCATCTCTATATAAGCTCCACAGATCAATCATTTAATAAGTTGTTATTAGCCTACTGAACACGAGCTTAGTTGAGCTTTGTACAGCTCATTCAAAAGCGTAGCTATAGCGGGAGTAGAGTAAAGGCAAATTCATCTTGTGGTAAAGGCAAGTAATGACGTTAAGAATCGAACAACCTGACATGAGTAAGATGCAAGTTTGGAAATTCCCACTGGAAAATCTTGCCGTACTACAAAAACCTACACTGCAATACCCTCCATTGCAATATCCTGCACTACAATACCCTCCGCTGCAATACCTTACATTGCAACACCTTACACTACAGCCTTCAACTTCAGGACCATCCTTCGCCAGTTAAATAGGGAAATTTGCATGAAAGATTGACACACCTCAGCTCCAATTTCCTACGGTCCTATCCCTCCCATAAATTAAGATCACGGCATGTGCCTGTCCAAGTATTGTTTATCCAGACCTGCAGAAGTGGCTCATTTTACCGGAGACTTTTATTATTGAAATGAAGAACTAATTTTTTTGCTCCAGAGAGCGCCTTGTATGAAATCAATTAAGGTATACCTTCGTCGATGACAGGGAGATACCTCTTAATCTAAACGTACCAGCTCCCGAATTATCTTTATTTCTGGTTGTCTAATATTTACCTGGAAGCAATACCAAGTGCAGTCATTAGTGCGTCTCTCAGGCCTTTGATAAAGGTATATGGATTCTTCCTCGTAAAAGCGAAATAAATGATCGGTAGGACAACCAGGGTGTGGATAATTAAGCCAATAGTGTCTGTGACGATAAACATGCCAAGTTTCTGCATTGACCCCAAGATATCATCCATTCTTGCCACTCGTGCGGCAATCAAACTGCAAACACCAATTGGCGAATACCTGGAACATGCAGAGAACACTCTTCTTTATAGGAAATTGCTTGTTTTGAAAATCTACCCATCCAATGGGCGTTACATCAGAGCATAATGTGCGTAGTAAAATATCACGTATCGGTCCAAAGCTGCTTTAAGCAAAGGTCCTTTTTATGTGATACACTGATCACCTTAACTGTCTACCTTGAAAATTTTATGCGAGATCTGTAAGCTGCTCTCAGTGATAGCACCTTTTTGCCGGGTCCCTCAGCTCTCACCTGATAAACGCCAAGTTGGACGAGGAATATTCCCTAATACATGCTGGTACAAGGTGGAATTCCGACTAAAAGTGCTTCGTTTCAATGACATCCAGCAAAAATCAAATTCTGAATTATGACCTTAAATGTCACGGTAGAAGATAATTAACTATATATTTTTAATTTGCTTGGGTGTTGTTAGTGGCCACGTGATCCCCATTATCAATAACAAAAATGCACATTCCTTCCACGTTATGCCCTCAATCCCAATCTTTTCCTATTCGCTTTCTTCTCCAGTTAGGTGATTAGCTTTTCACTAATTTTGTACAACTATATTGTTTGACCATTTGACTGTCTTTTATTTTTCTCGTTATGTCTGTAGTTTACAACCTGCGTCAGATCGAGTACACCGATCTCCCTGAGGGAGCGTGGCCACACTTTACATCTAACATGTTAAATGAATCCCTTGACACACGGTCCACATTTGATAAGTGAAAGCCAAGTGAGCGCTTTACAACCTTTTTTTAACCCTTTAGCTCCCGGAAGTGATTAACATGGAACTTCTCCCTACAGTATTCATACATTGTCCTGCAAACAGGTATTGAGAAAACTCCAACCTATCAGGTAGAAGTTTTTATCTTGATTTAACACTAAATTCTCATAACTGATTTACAAGGAAATGTGTAGCAGCTAGAGAGGAGAAGTAACAATCAGATCTTGGGAGTTAAAGTGTTAACTGAGTGTTACAACAACAGCCATTAAGAACAAAGGTAAAATAACTCATGATTGGTTTTGATTTGCACCTTATCGGGGGAGAATGTGACGTGAGTTTTCTTGACCAACCAATGAACGGATTAAATCAAAGCTCATGAATCTAGGGTTACTTTTGACACTCGCCAAAAAATTATTTTACCCTTAGAAACCTACAAATACTTCAGAAAAAAAATATTTCATCATCAAGAAACTTATGGACAACCTAAAACTCACCACATAATCAAAGTGACCAGCATCAACACAGCATCGTTCAATGTCGAGAAAAATTCAACAAGTGGTTTCCCTTTAGGGCCAAGTTTTCCTATCACAATGCCAAAGATAATGGAGAACACGGTCAGGCCAAGAAGATTCACTCCATCATCCGACTTCATTCCTGCCGGGACTGTGTTTGAACCAGGATAGATCTGCTTTGATACTGTTGAGATTATTTCTGAACCATTATGAAATGTTGAAGTAATTTTCTCATTTGAGGCAAGGGTTAAGTTGGAGCCTGTAACATTGTACATTTCTCTGAAGATAGTGAAAGAAATGAAATGGTAATTAAAAAGCCTTCACAGATAATTATCTCTAGTATATTTATTTCAGTATATTTTCTTATACACACAGGCTATTCGAACTTTTTTTCTCTTAATTAAGCTCAAAGAGTCGGGGAAAACTCGATCGATCATGCAATCGTCTTTGTCTAACATACGTTATGGACACACATGCATGTACATACCTGCTTTACAGTGGCCTCTATTAAGTTACTTGGAAAACAGTTTCTAAAAGAAAAAGAGAGAGATGTGATAAGATCTTGAATTTTATTTATATAGCATCATTATCACTAGTGTAAAAAAGATACGATGCGCTGCACTAAAACATACTGCCCATGACACTGGGCAAAATATTATCTAAATACAGTCTAGTGATGTACAAATAACTTCAATAACAGCAAATTTATTGATTCCCTGATGGGCAAAGTTCTGATGTATTAGGCCTCGGATGTTTGCTTACCCGCTCGAAACTATCTAATGTCCCTTAGATAATCCTCCTAATAAACTATCACTAGCTAGAATGCAGCTCAAGTGAACGTAATTTGTTGCAGCGAAATACTGCAGTGCTGAAACAAAGGCACCGAAAAAAATACAACCTGCAAGTTATCGCAAGGCTTAAATGTTGAATTCACGGTTCATTTCCTCTCTTTTATTATAATATGGATTTAGCATACCTTATCACGTCCAGAATAGAATCCAAGTTTCTATATTCCATTTTCTTAAAAGATGGTCCACCCTTTCCAGGCTTATCTTCTTTGCCAGGCTTAATGGTCAAAGCCAATAACACACCTAAAAGCGCTGCCATGACCATGGTTGACAAATAATAAATTAATGTTCGACGGCCAATTTTACCCGCTTCTGCAGCGTTCAGTCCTGCTACGGCTGTAATGAGACTGGCTATGACCAGTGGAAGGATGATCATTCGCAGCATATTTAGCAACAGTTCGCCCGGAAAGGACAAGAGCATGATTGTTGACGCCTTCTTTTCGGGGTCTTTTATTCGATTTACTGGAGGATTGACAAGTACTCCGATCACAAGACCAACAACTGCAGCAGTGATAAGTAACACTAAAAGCAAATTGTTTCGGATTCCTGCTCCACAGGACTTTCCGCATCGGCCAAATTTTCCTCTATCAGTCCTTTCCAAAGTTGCCATGTCTTTTAGGAGAATCACTTCGAAATGGCGAAATGAACTGAAACTACGACTTACAACTGCACCTCTGTTCAGACGCCTTCCACAATGATCTAATTAATGTATTTTGTAACAAACAGTCTCGATCAAGTATGACAGAATAGCAGGATGCATCACTGAGCTTTGCATTGTCTTACGCTTCCCTGAATTTAAAGCTCATCGTCTTTAACAAAAGAAGCGTCAAGAGTGGCTTTTGAGGCGCATAGTTCAAACAAAGTATAATTTGAGGATCAAGAGGACTTTACCACCTTTTTTTTTTTCGGTTTTGTCAGGTTGTATCAATTATATCATATAATTGATACAACCTGACAAAAATTAAGATACTTTTTGAACGAAAACTCAAAATAAAACATTCTGCGAATATCCTGGAAACAGAGTTCTCTTTCCGTCCACGACTAAAAATAACTACAGAGGAATCTAGAACGTTCTAATTCTTTCCCGCTAAACCAAAGCGTTTTCTTGGGGCTAAGTCATGGCATATTTACACAGTGTTGTGATTTGTAACAAAATAAGCGCGAGAAAATGTAACGAAGAATGAAAAGTGAATGATTTATCAATCGTGAGATGTGTTTATAAATCGTTGCCCAAAAGCGTCATGGAGCCGAGCAAATCAATGTAGCGTATCATGCAAACGAGATGTCACAGGCAAAGAATCTTAACTGACATGAGGCAGAACAGTCCTTCAATAGGTGACCCCTGATCTCTATTAAAGAACCAGGAGACAGTTAGAAAATGCTTTAGTGGGTCATCATCTTGTATATAAATCAGTGATTGCCCTTTAACGGCTTTTTTCTTTCTTCTCCACTTCCCGTTATTTTTTTTGCACTTTCCGCGTTAATCCCATTGATTTGTTTTTTTGTTTTTTGTTTTTTTACCTGCCAGTTCGCTTTCCTCGTTTCCCGTTACCCGTTCTTTATCTTACACTGCCCCAGCTTTCGGGACGTTCACTGTTTTAATGTGGTAGTGGTGATCTAACAAAGTACAACTATTGCAATTTGTTACGACTATCTGACAGGAGGCACTAAGCAGTATCTTGAGTTCTTAGCTATGCTGTTCAAAACTACCCAGAACTTTGCAGAAGTCACAACACAAAATAATACAAACAGCTCAACGTAAAAAGTTCAACGGGTCATGTACAGAAAATGGTGGTTAAATGTCGTGGCGATACGTAAATTTTGCCGGGGATACTCTAAAACGCGCTCCTGGCTTGTCAGTTTTTGCAGGGGCGCAAGGAATATTTTAGGTCATTTTATGGGGCACATTATGTAGGGAAATAGAGACTGCTGGAAGTAACCGAAATGTTCGTTTTGTGAGATAAATACACTCTAGATAGACAGTGATGAACAAAATAGGAACGTGAATGGGAAAAGAACAGATTAGATGTAAGTGTGGTCGTTAAAACTTTAAGACGACGTAATTGCTTAATGTAAACAAATCTGAATAATTGGCTTGAGCGATCGTGATTCGTTACATGCATGTCAGCTCAGCGATGCAAACGAGACGGTTGCCCCTCATGATATGTATGTCACGATTCGATGCATGACCAATCGGGCTTATCTTTAGCGACGTCTTGCGTGAAATGGCGTGTAGGTCGCTTTTCAGTATTTGCAGTGGGCGACGCTGTACGGGTTTCCTTTCAAACCTGAAGCGGAATCTTCTTCTTGTCTTACTGGTGGTTGGAGCAATCATTGGCTTTTCAATCGGAGCAATAATCAATAGCCCCGTGAATCGCATCATCGACCCAGAGAAGAAAGCCACTGTTATAATGCTCATTGGATTTCCAGGGGAACTGTTCATGAGCATGTTGAAGATGATTATTCTACCTCTGATCGTTGCCAGTGTGATAACAGCCGTATCGACTCTGAATCCTGACGTGGCGGGAAGAATTGGTCGACGTGCTCTCATATATTACTTAGGAACACTGATATTGGCCGCTCTTTTGGGGTTGACCCTCGTGATGGCGATCCGCCCAGGTTTAAGCGACAAACCCAGCGAGCAAAAAGATGTAAAGGCGGTGAAGTACAGGAATTTGGATTCGCTTCTTGATATGATAAGGTAGGGTATTCATTGCGTAATATAGAGAGTTTATTATCCAACAATTGATTCTTTTGCTCATCTTAATCGTATCATACACATAGTTCTATGTTTAGTTTGCATACCACGCATTTTAAAGTAGTTACAGAGACAATCGTGGGAGACTGACCTCTCCTGAGGTAAAATTCTCTGCGGAGAGTCACGCGATTTGAAATTCTTTTGTTGCTCATGTCCTGCCGGCCATTGCGTGATATGAGAACCAATTTGGAGTGTAATATTTTTTTCTTTAAATTAATGGAGGAAAACTAATTCAAAAATAAACCTCTTAGTTCTGATTATGATTGATTTCTAGGAACTGTTTCCCCAGTAACTTAGTCCAAGCAGCCACAAGCAAGGTGGGTAAAGCGATTTTTCCCTTTAAATCGCCCTCGCGTTTAGTATCCCACATAAGCCTTCATTTCGTGATGATATACTGTGTTCCCTTAGTATTTTCGAAGATCTGGGGAAGACCTTAAAATAACTTATCCTGTGTCCCGAAATTTGCTTATGTGCTCTTCCCATCTTCTCCACGAAAACATCCAACACGCGAGGTACGTACACGTGACACACACACACACCAGGGAGGCGAGACACCTCGAGACAAAAACTGTCAAACTGGGGCAGGACCTGTATTGGAATCTAGTCTCTTAGTTCGATCGTCTCAAGATCGTTGCATCTTCTCCAGTGCAATTATCAGGAGACATTCAGTGTCCTTTTTCCTTGTAAATAGAAAAAAACAAACTACATTACAGTATCCGCAAGATCGAAGACTTACAATGTCACAAGCGATTATATTCACCTCGAGACTGGCGAGGAAATTATCGGCGTCCATTACAATGGTACCGTAAACATTACCACCCTAAGAAGAGAGATCCAAGCAGGTTCGAGCACTGTACCTGCAGGAGTGACGACCACGGGAGGAATGAACATCATTGGTCTGATCGTGTTTTCCATAGTGTTTGGTGTTGTCCTTGCGAGGTTGCGTGACAAAGGAAGACCGCTGGTTGAATTCTTCTCGGCATTGAACGAGGCTATAATGATGATTGTTTTCTTTGAAATGTGGTGAGTTTCAATGAACTGTGCTCGAGGGCGTGGCTCGTGGAGTGTAATAATACAAATCAGATTACCCCTTGGTATGCGTTTTATTTCATGTTAGACAAGCTGGTTTGCTCAAAATTTCCATTTTTAGACTCCTCCCAGGGGCGTAGAAAACATTATCTCGATAATCGAGGGCTAAGAACGTGAGCCGCGGGGGGCTCGATCCAGGGAAATGCAACACAAGAAAATATGTTCTGTTCTGTAACAGTGCTTACTTGACCGGTCAAGTAGCTGGCTGATCTACTTGTGTGTTAAAACGCATGGCTGTTGATAGATTTTTGTACATGTTTGAGAGAGAATTATTTTTTTTCTTCTTCGTTTCTTTGCATCAAAGGCTGGCTCCAATTGGCGTGTGTAGCCTGGTGGCGGCTCGTGTTGGTGGAATGAAGGATATCTTGGGTACCATGCAAAAATTAGTATTTTACATGTTGACAGTCATTTGTGGCCAGCTTATTCACTCCCTGATCGTGTTACCACTCGTATTCTTCATTTTCACTCGGAAGAATCCTTATGTGTTCATGAGAGGTCTCACAGATGCCTTGATGACAGCATTCGGCATCGCTTCCAGGTGTGTACGAAGGACCTTTGTGACTGTTTTCGTCTACAGGAACGTTGAAAGGAGATTTCTATCCTAATGAAATGGAAATAACCTCTTACTGTTTTTCGTCCAAGTTAAGAACTCAATAGGTCAATATGTGTTGTTTTAGTATTTCTTCTTAATCTCTATAAAGAAGACCTGTAGGTGACTTAAACGGCTTTTACTTGGGGCAGAAGAGCACAGAATACGTCATTACAATGGAGTGTGCTGCACATAAAATTAATTACCCTAGAGTAACCTTGAAAAGTAAAAATCTATGTGATTAGCTTACTCGCACGTATTTTAACTCGATAGTCTGGAAATCTGGAAATCTGGAAACATGCAAATGATTCTTTAGCGTACTTGCATCTATCATACCTTGGTAATCTGGAAATGTGGAAATCTTGAAATATGCAAATAAGTCTATGTACAAATTAGTGAATCGTCCGCCATCTTGGATTTCGAACTACACGTAAATAAACCCCGGTGTCTCGGCTGGGGTTTCAACCCAGACCTCTCGATCCGGGCTACAGCAAAATAGCCACAGGATCAACAGTGGAAAACACCATGACGAATGTGGATCAATATCAGTATCTGAACAACTGCATACCTTCCCCTCCCCTGACCCAATATTAACCCTAACCTGTTATCAGTTGACTGATGTTGGGTTAGGGCATGAGTAGGTGCTCAGTTGCTAGGATACTGACACTGATTCATGAATGCTTGCCGACCCTATATACCATTTGCGTAGTTACAACACTTGCTGCGTTATCAACAACTGACACTTCACCAACCATCTCTAAACTTAAAACAACACACCTCTTAACAATTGGTCACACTGCTTTGTTTTCAGTGCAGCCACTCTCCCGACAACTATCCGCTGTGTGGAAGAAAACAACGGCATCGATTCACGCATAAGTCGCTTCATGTTGCCTCTTGGTGCCACTCTCAACATGGATGGCCTGGCCCTCTCACGAGTGGTGGTAACTATCTTTGTTGCTCAACTAAACGACATCTCCCTTAGCCCAGGAAGAGTTGTTGTTGTCTGGTAAGAGACGATGACAGAACTTTTGCTCTTTTTGTCTTATCTTCCTAGTGAATAACTCGTTGGGTACCACTTACACGAGTGCCTAACAGGTAAATTATAAACCGGTTAACCCTTTCACTCCCAAGATCTGAATGTTAATTCTCCCATCTAGCTGCTGCACATTTCCTAGTAAATTAGTTGCAAGAATTTGATGTTTAAACAAGATAAAAACTTCTACCTGATACATTTGAGTAATCTCATTACCTGTTTTGTTGTTAGTAGAGGGATATTGTTGGGAGAAGTTATATGTGAATCGCTCTGGAAGTGAAAGGGTTAACTGTTGCTCTATCATCCTATTTCTTCGCGCCTTTCACTCATCGTTTTTTTTTTTTTTGCTTTTTTTTTTTTTGCTTGTTTGTTTGTTTGTTTTCTTTTATTTTCTCTTTACTGGTAAGTTTGTTGAAAATTTCATGAATTTATGCAAGAAATTGCGATGCAGATGCAGACTTCCTCATAATTTTTTTCCAGATTATTGATCACCCTTTGCTTAACATCATTTGAGTAATATTAATTCTGACTTATGGAAAATACTCTAGTAATAACACTCGGAACTTTGCTAATAGCATTTTCTTTTTTTAATTTTTCTTTTGCAGCTTAATTGCTATTGCTACTTCCATTGGCGCCGCAGGAATACCAGGATCAGGAATCATGATCATTATTGTTCTCCAAGCCGTTAATCTTCCATTGCACGACTTTGGCATTATCATGGCTATTGAATGGATGCTGTGAGTGTTCATAACGTGTTCATTTAAATTAGTGAGATGTATCGCGAGCCCACAACTACCAAGGACTGACTTCCATCCAATTTCTCTGGACAATATCACACCTGAATCACATGTAAAGGGTCATGAGGATAAAGAGAATGGTCGCCAACTAAAGCAGCTCTAAACGATTAAATAAGTTCTCCTTATCAGCACCTTAGGAAATATATGGAGAGCAGTATGGAGAATATAAATGCCGATGTAGCGTGTGAAAGGGTTAATGTTGGGGGTTTACCCACAAAGGACTGGTATTTAATGCACGAGAGGAGTACATTGAGTACTAAGTGCATTACGCTACTAGTAATGAGGCGAGCCAATATTCCATCTTACAGTTGCGCGCCTGATTGTCAAGCCTTTGAAGATGAGTAAGGCTAAGGGTGACCTTGATATGATAGAAACGTTGTAGTTTTTCAAATGTTAATTAGTTTGTTATCATGCTAACTAAATACTGGTTTCTATCATAACAAGGTCACCTTCAACCTCACTATAACTCAACGGCCACTAAGTATACAACCGTAAGATGGCCTATTGACTTGTGTTTATAGTTAAAGATGCGCGAAGCAATACGCAGGGATAGTCTTTAGTGTAATAATCTTCTTGTCTACACCGATTATTATTTACGTTTTTCAGGGATCGCTGCATCACAACTGTCAACGTCCTTGGGGACGCAATGGGTACTGGGATCGTGGCACACCTCTCACGTGACGACTTGAAGTTAGATAAAGAAAACGACAAGGACAGGAGAGATTCGCAAGGGCTAATGATGAACAGTGATCTTTGATTATTCTTATTGATAGCAGTTTAGCAATAGTCACCGAATTGGAGGTGGCTAGTGGTGGATATTTACCGAATCACGAAGTATCGAGGTAAATAACCACTACTAGCCACCGACACTGACGTAAATAGTTGTTCTAATGTATAATCAAACAGTAAGATAATAGAGCACTAAAAATTGAATTTAAACTCATTCATTCCCGGTGACGACTAAAAACCATTTGGGCGCAAATCCAGCGTGCGCTGCTCAGAGGTGAATAGCAAATGGTAGACGGAGTTGGGTAGCCAATCAGAGCGAGCCTTCAATGTTATCCACTGTTTGAGCATATACTACATACCTCCAGTATAGGAGTAGGTTCGCAACGGAAAGGTAAAGTTGATAGAACAAACTGAATACAAGGCAAGTGAGGAGGTGACCGTGATCTGGTAGTTTTACTACCTAAAATTCCAATTTTTAACTTGATATTAACCACGCAGGCTACAATGACTTGTGTACGGCTACATGACACGGGCAGCAATTGAAACTACCTAACAGCAGAGCTGTTTTACTTTTATTGACTTCGTTGAAAGCCTGACAAAGCGCTACAAAGCGCTACAAAGCAAAAAGTATAAGACAACCAATCAAGCCGTAACGATTGATAAGGAACCCTTTATACTCTAAGTACCATTTAACGCTTCTTCTACTGAACATACTCAACTCTTAATGTAAATAAGTTCTAAGCTAAACGCAACTTTCGTACCGTCATTGCGCAAAATTTACTGTAGGAATATGAGATCTATATACGAATAAACATAAGGACATGGATCTTTTCGCAAGTTGAAAATACTTTCGTATCAATGACCGTATCTGAGCAACTGAGCACCCCACCCCTCCCCTGACCCAACAACAGTCAGCTGATAACAAGTTCAGGGTAATGTTGGGTTAGGGGAGGGATAGGTGTGTAGGTGCTCAAATACGGACATTGATCCATACTTTCACTATAAACTTATAAGAGTTTCAGCTTTCCCGACAAGAGGGAATTAAGAACCAAATGAACCATGCGCACCCCCTAAAAAAAGAGAAATGATGAACCTAAGGGACTGACGAATCAATATAGGCCGTCCTCGTTGGACAATCTTATCAATCTCAAACAAGTTATTTTTGGATTACTGCCCCTTTAATGGGGAGATGTAGATATGATCAATTTGAACGATTTCAACATTTCCAATGGACCTTAGAATATAAATCGACAACATGATGATCTTGGTTTTGGATAAATCATTGCATTCCTCAAGAAAAATGTTTACCCTCAGGGTCACGGAACAACGTGTAAAATGAAAAATGGTGTACCAATGTTTTTACTTAAATTCGTATTGTTTAGATTATTATTTTAAAAAATTCACTACAATCAGCTACAAATTTCCTATGTTGGTGAAATATTCAAGCTAACATGAGGTAGTTCTATGTTTATACTTGGCCATAAGCCAAAGCCAAAGCTAAAGTTATTTTATTTTGAAATATCAAAGGCCTATATTTACCTAAAACATCCCGGTGAAGCCATACTATTTGCTTTTTATGTTAAACGGTTAATATATGACAAGCGTTCTGCACAGTGCCTAGGAGCTTCCCCGTCCGACCTAACTAACCATCATACAGAACGTGCGATTAAATGTATCTAAGCTACAAGTGAACTAATATCGTCTAACAACAGACTGAGTTACAAAGAGGAGGTGACCACGAGTTGATCAGGGTCATCCAGTTTCCCCCCGTTACTGAGAGGGACGCGGTCACCCACTTTGCCATTGACATCATACTTGAGCAGATCGTCACGTGACAGATGTTCCACTACACCAGCGCCGATAGAGTCACCCAAAACATTAACCGTGGTACGGAATCGATCCCTGAGGAATAAAAAGAGCGTAGCTTTCGTCATTGTTAAATCACAATACTTATTTGTCTTATCTTTTTTTTATTCAATTAAAAACCATTTCACTGAATAGCATACGAACTCTGAGCTTTTCAATTTTGCCTCATTCAGTTGTCAATCATAACCGCAACCCGCGAACAAGAAGCCTTTGAAACAGCCCATGTTTCCTCGGCTATTACACACTGGCTCTAAGTCGTTCCTTATTAATTTACTACAGGCAAATGAAGAACTTGTGCATTTGTTTTTTATCGCGTCAAGTCACACGTAGGTTCGCAAAAGCATTCTGGACGCAAGAAAAACCTTCAAAAAAAAAAACGTAAAGAATTGTTACTCACAGGAACCAATCAACAGCCATAATGAGCCCGATGTCATCCAGCGGCAGTCCAACAGCTTGCAAAACAATGATGGTGGTAATTGAGCCCGCTGAAGGAATGCCAGCGGCACCAATTGCGATCGCAGTTGCTGTAAGACTAGATGAAAATCAGAATTTTTAGCATAAGTTGACACTCTAAGCGGCCTTGACATATACAGTACAGGGTGGCGTGTTAGGGAACTTGTCTTTCTAGCATGAGGTGTAAGACAAACTAGTACGGGGATTGTTCTCTCCTGTGTTCCATACACCTTTTTAAACAATCTTAATGGCTAAGTAAAAGATAAGAGTGGAAAAGATTTTGTCGCATGCCGCAATGTGCCCACCTGTCTGCAGGAAAACTTTACATTGCTCACTCAAGCAAAACAGGAATTTCCCTTACCAAATGGCGACTATTTTGCCTCCTGACAAATCATAGTCGTTCAGCTGAGCAATGAAGATGGCAGCAATAGCCTCATACAGAGCTGCGCCGTCCATATTCACAGTCGCACCCAGCGGCAAAACAAACTTGCTTATGCGCGGGTCCACTTTGTTGTTTTCTTCAAGGCAGCGTATGGTGGTAGGCAGAGTTGCCGCACTGAAGGAAAAGAATGAACAGTGAAGGTTCATACTGGTGCTATTTACGATGGAATTTGGAGTTTATAACGGGACTTAATTTAGCTCCGCTCAATGATGTGTCTCAAAGAAAGCTGGCGCACCTTTTCTACTAAACAGTGGAGAAAAAAACCAATCGCGACATGATCAATCAATTTTTCTGGTTGGCTCCACGTGACATTTTCCTTTGTTGTCATTGGCCGTTGGTTCTGATACTCACGCAAAATGCACTCTACCGCAGAAATGAGACCAAAAAAATGTAGGTACATGGGGCGTGAAAGATAAAGTTGATAACACTAGTCCACCGAATCAATGAATATTAAATGCCAACCTTAGATTTAATTTATACGTATTTAACAAAATAATTTTTCACACTGATGACCATTCGTCAGTTGGATATCGTTATCAACGTGCACCTGTCGAGCCAGCGGTCCTTTGAGAAAAAAACAAATGTATTTATTTGGGACTCAAAATCAACTTTGCATGTGTAGTGTCAATTCTCAATTGAAAAGGTTGTTCTGCTTTTACTATACACCTTTTAACATCGAAAGTTGGGACTACAAATTACATTAGTAATCAGGCAGATAGATGCCACTACCAATTATTTCATTGCCTGTGCGCTTGAATGAATGCACCCATTGCGGACCACTATCATCAACTGCTCCTCGTAAGTCATATTTCCAACTTACCTCGAGCTGATGCCAAATGCGGTCATAAAAGCATCTCTCATTTTGTACATGAAAATAAAAGGATTGGTCCTTCGCACCACAAAGAAAATAAGCGGGAGAATGATGAAAGCATGGATGGTAAGACCGACCATAACTGTTACGATGAACAAGGCTAAGCGCTCGAGTTCTTTTCCAATATCCTCCATGCTGGCCACTCGCTGAGCGATCAAACTGCAAATACCGATTGGTGCATACCTACGAAAAAAAAAGCAGAAGCGATTGAGGGTAATCTCCTGTTGAGATATACCTGTGAAACGTATACCGGCCTTCTTTTCCTATATCAGATGAGGTTACTGTTAGTATCTGAGCAACTGCACACCTACCCCTCTCCTGACTCAACGTTAACTCTAACCCAATAAAATATTTCAAGAACTCATTAAGATATTAACAAAAGACATGCTGTCAAGGAAAGATGCCAAAGGGTCACGTGAGTTTTCATGTCAAGCAGTTTAATTCAAACCACACTTCAAGACATGGGAAACAATAATATGAAACCCTAACCCTGACCCTAACCCTAACCCAAACCCTAATGCTGCCACAAGGGTAAAGTTAAAGCTGCACCTGCCTGATACAAATTGAGCATTGCTAGCAAATGCCACAAGCTGTAGAGGAGATTAAGGAGATTAATGACATTTGACCCATGGAAGTATTCTCCTGGAAAGCAAACTTGTAACCAATTTAAATTGTACATCTAGCTGAGTTTAAACTCAAAATGCAAACATTCATTTCAACATACCACATGATAAGTGTCACCAGGATCATAACAGCATCATTAAGGGAGGAAAAGAAGGCAGTCAAAGGTTTGGCTCTCACACCCATCTTCCCAAGTACAACACCAAACACAATGGAGAACACAGCCAAACCAAGAATGTTCATGCCCCCTGTGGGGTTAGTAGCAACTCCGGCAAATATTGTATTAGAGGGTGGATATATCTCTTTGAATATAGTGGTTATGTTTGTTGTATTGGTCTGCAAAATTCCCTCATTCTCTTCAAGTTTTGTAGAGTTACCAGTCACATTGCGGTATTCATACTTGCCAGGATCTGTTTTGTAGTAAGTCTTTTTCTGAAGAAAATAATGAAAATAAAGAACTTAATTAGCAACAATAACTTCATACAAGTGCCCATGTATATGTGCTTACTGTGACTTACACATCCGCATTGATAAAAGGATAAGATGGAACAAAAAAAACCCCAATGCACATCAGACATTAATAGACTGCAAGAAGATTTTCACTGAGAGTCACATGTGAAGATAATGCACAAAAAATATTCAAACTCCTAATGCCCATTGTGTTGTGTATACTGTATTGACTGAGGTGTCCCAAAGTAGGGGGGAAGGGGTATTACACAAAGTTTGGGTAGGGGTGTGCAATTTGGGCCTAAAAAGCCTTTTCTTGTTCAAGAACAAAATCCTTTTCCTTCCACCTCCCTTTATAATTAAAAATTTGTTGTTGATTTTAGCATAGCAACTTCATTCAGTCACAAGAAGTATATTCATATAAATTACTGATGCCTGTTTTAAAGTTATCCATAATTTCCAGAAGCATTTCTTGTTGAGGAAATCTAATAATAAAATTGTAAACACTTTGTACAGACTTGAAACCCCAAAAGCTATACCCTTTTTGGCAACACATACCCCTATAAGCCCAATTAGGAAGTGAGCACCCCTCTTTTGTTCAATGGTAAAGCTGCTTTTTAAAACTGTTTCAGAGAAACCCTCCCAGTGCATGTGTTACTGCACCCACAAGTATACTCAAGTGATTTCACTATACAGCAGAGACTGTTGTATGACTGAGAATTGCTTGTTACAAGGTCATTTAACACTGAAATGTACTTGTAAAGCATTGTTACATGTAGTTTTGGATGAATTGCTCATTGCATGTGTGCTCTGTTGATGAGTGGTTTTGGTTGCACATCTGTGATGGACAAAGGTGCTTGGCCCTTCATTTAAATCTTGAATTGCATGACTACCAATGTGTCAGCCAATCTGAATTTGTCCAAGAAGCAGCAAGGCTGAATAGTTTAAGGAGCTGGATTTGAACTTGTGAGGACCCGGGTTCAAATACTCCAATCTGCCAATTCATTAGATTTTTATTTTTGGTAGTCTCAAGTTCAACTCCTCTGCTGTGCACTGTAAATAGTTAATCAAGTAGCAGGGGGTCTACAGATGTAACTCACTTAGTAAGCTTTGGTCTGAGTTCAAGTATCAATTGTTTTCTTCATGTTTGAGATAAAGTGTAATGTAAGAAAAACTACACAGAGCTGCACATAAATAACTTTTAAAGGTGAACACCATAGTTATTCCATCCCATATACTCTGCTCCAAAATTAGTCAATATCCCCACTGATGAAAGAGACAATACAGTAGCAATATAGTGGCAGTAGAAGTATAGTATTGAGTTCTCAGATGAAACCCCACTGGATAAAACAGAAACTTTGGCAAAGATGTTATATTTAATGATGGGAAGATTTCCAGATCATGCACTGTCTCAGTTAGTGTTAACCCTGTTTGACTGATCTACTACACATTAAACCAACCTGACGAAATGTTGCCTCAACAAGGTTACTGGGAAAACAGCTCCTGGAAACATTTGATAATAATGAAATGCAAAAATAGCTTACAGTTTATCAATACATGTATTACCATAAACTGCTGCTTATAAGCCCTGGCCTTGTTCAACTTCGTATGGGGTCCCAGGAGGGCTAATACACTGAGGGGCTGAAATCCAAGGCGGTTATAACCAGAATAGGAAAAGTGCTTTGAAACAAGCTATGGAAGTGCTAATCAAATGGATTTGGCATTTAATGGCTTTAAATTAGGCTTCAAAAAATCAAAATAAATCAAATTCATTAAATACATTATTACTATTGTTAAAATTTTGCTGAATAAGTCAAAGAAGAGTTCTTAACTCTCAAAACAAGGAAAATTATCAGGGACTAGGGGAAGGGGGCTTACAATCAGTTATATTTCTTTGTTTTCAGGTAGATGGACCTATAACCTGCAGGGTGGGTGGGCAATATAGGTGTGGGGGGGGACCTATAAGCAGCAGTTTATGATTTTATACCACATGCAGAAGAAATTCAACTTGCTAGCAACGAGTCTTTAAAACAAAATCTTGATACTGCATGTTTAGAATTTTTTCATTGCTTTTCACTGAGTAAAATGCTTTGCAATCTATCCTTTGAAGTGAGAATATTTATTAAATTGCTGACTGTTGGCAATTGCCAATTTTCACTAAAAAAAAAAAAAAAACTCAGTGACAGGACTTAATCAGGCTGTAGTCTAAACATGAATTTACTCTGAAAAACTGCATACAAATCTGTTGTTGGTTAGTCATAAGAGAAGGAAAACTGGAGAGCTATGCAAAGAAAACCCACAAATTAAGAAGTCAAGAACTATGTTTGTTGAAATGGAGACAATAAGAATTAAAGCTCTTTACATTTGAATTGTGCCAGAGAAAAACTGCCTCTCATTGTAGTTTGTGAACGATCAGAGGGGACTCGGGAATGAAATCCGAAAAGATTCATAGCAGGGGCTTTATGTTTTTGTCTACAGAGTGCTTCAATGGGACTTTGTTTGTCAACTCTGTGCCGCCTGACCCCCGCTGACTCACGTGGTACTCGAAAATTTTAACCAAGTGATGTTTGAATTGAGCCATAGGAAGGTTTTTGAACCGTTCACAGTCTGCCGGATTACGAGTGTAAATTTCACTCAAGTGAACTGAGTTACAAAAAACTCGAATACAGCGATGAATAGTAAATTGAAAGTGGAAATATCAGGTTTTGATCTGCATGCATGACATAACGTTTTACTATCGAGGCTGGTTCTTGTTTGTGAACCTTACTTTGTATTCACGATTTTCCTCCAGCAATAAATCCTATTTATTTTCCACTTCCAAATGCCCTTGGAAAGTAATGGTTTTTCGCAGCCTCATTTTAAGCCTTGAACTAAAGATATAACTCAATTTCGGAACAAAATGTAATCATAGTTAGTTGATATAATCAAGGAGTTTTCACACGTGTGAGTGAAACAATATACAAACGAGCGTCCAATTCTTCTTTCATGCGCTTACAGCTCAGAAAGTAGAACTACATGGTTAATTTATTGAAAGGTCAACCGAAATGTTTACTACATTCACGCCTAAAATGACCGGGAGAGTTCGATGTTTTTCAATTTTCATGTCAACTCGTGGCCTGGCGCGGGAAAAATTAGGGAGCGTTCGATAATATATTCATAAATTAAAATCAATGAGTTTCTTTACTCCTACATCTCAAAAGAGTTTTTAAATCAATTTAACGCACCTGATTAAATCTAAAAAGGAGTCTCTGGTCGTGTAGGGATTCGGATCTGATTTATTGCCAGTTGGATTGTCAGTCTTCCCTGGCCTAATGGAGGAAACAAGGACCATGCCCAAGATGGCGGCGGACAACGTTGTGGTCAGATAGAACAGCAATGCACGACGCCCGATCTTACCGGTCGCTCTTGCATCGAGATGTGACACAGCAGTGATCAGACTGGCCACGATGAGTGGAAGAATTATAACTTGCAGCATATTCATGAGAAGTTCCCCGGGGAAACCGATCAGCATGGTTGTTGTAGCCTTCGTTTCTGGATTCTCGATATTTTGCACGGTCGGGTTGATAACCGCCCCAATCAAAAAGCCTATTGCAGCTCCGATGCCCAGCAAAACGACGAGCAGATTTCTCCTGATCACCCCACAAAATGACCGGCAACAGCGGCCGCAGCCGTTGTCTGACCCTCCGAAAGTCGTTGCCATTTCTTTACCCTCTTCTGGCGTTTTGCTGTGTGGATGAGACGCGTTCCACGTGAGTGAGCGGAAGTTATTATGCAAGAATTAATAAATTTTACATTGCATTTGCATGATAAAAAGATAAACATTCAGACACAAATTAACGTTTAAATGCCTCAATTTCTGTTCAGTAGAAACACTTAGTTGCCTGAGCGAAAACGAAACTGAGCCTTTAAAAGGAAGAAAAGAAATGATAACGACGGTACGCGAAAATGAGATTACAGACATCCCGTCGCGTATCAGTCAAACACGAAAGTGTAAGGCAGTGACAGAGCTCATACCGATCGAATTGTTTCAGAAGTTCTTCTTTTACTTTTTAGCAAGCAAGAATGGGTTAGATAACTTGAATGTGTCAGAGGATTTCGATAACCTCGCGTATTCCAAGTTTTTTTTGTTTTTGTTTTCGTTTTTTTGTTTTTGTTTTTTTGAAGAGGGAGATCAGATGGTAAGTAGTTATGTCACCACATGTAACCTTGACCCCAACAATCGAACAATCGAAACCTTATCGATCGCTACAATGTATATATATGTATATATATACACTATATATCTTACTAGACGTTAAAATACTCAGCGATACTACACACCAAAATGTCTAATAAGTTATATATTATTCAACTGCTTTTTTTTATATTAAGTCTTTCTGCTCATTACTCATTAGGCGGGAAAAGAAAGCGGTTAGAGAAGCGTAGCGCGCGCAGCCGACTGGTTAAACAGGTTTTTTTTTTTACAATACAAAATAATCAACTTTCCATATAACCGTGCAATATCGCAGGATATTTGTACTCTATTCGC